GATGAGTACAGAAACTTCCACATTCCTAGAGGTTCAATGATTTTCGCAAACATCTGGTACGTGTGCAGTCGCCAATGTGTGCAATTGTACTATAACGCTGTCGGAACGTAGGCAAATGTCCCGCTCGGCCGAATTATATCGCGATGCAGAGTCGTTTCGTCCTGAGCGATCCTGAGCGATTTGAGGACGCAAATGTCGACGTATTGTCTGATCCTCGTAACTACGTGTTCGGCTTTGGGAGACGGTACGGACACTTGGCCGCTTGGTGCATGTCCCGCTCATCATGAGTCTGCTGCAGGATTTGCCCAGGAAGGCACTTCGCGGAAGACGCGATTTGGTTAGCCATCACGCACATTGTTTCAATCTTCGATATTGAGAAGGCATACAATGCGGACGGTGGCGAGATCACACCTGCTGTTCACTTCCGTCCGGGCCTCACTAGGTGAAGCCACTCTTCTCGCTGACTACAAAGTGTACGACGAATAATCCACCCGCGCACAGCCCTCCTGCGGAATTCAAAGGCAAGATTTACCCACGTTCATCTGAACTGGTGTCTCTGATCCTGGCCGGGCACCTGCATGAGTAGTCACGGAATGTATTCCATGACAATGTAGACAATGCCGGTGATATGTGGATATAAAGTGTTGATACTTGTGTGCAATACAATCTCAGCGCAAGTGACATGATTGATCTTCCCCGCCACCAAGACAACATCATGGAGATGTCAACGCTGACCAGAGTTTATGCACGAAAGAAATGGAGGAAGAGACTGAGATTCATCCAAAACTCAAACGACGAGCATTGATGCACTCTAAAACGAGTTACAGCGTACTCAACCCTGCGAATGCGTGCCCAGGCGCTTGTCGCGGACTGTTTGTCTGCGAGAACCTGTCAGCCATCCAACATGGCCTTCAGCCACAACATCAGCCACAATTACGGGCAACTATCAACTGATATACTGTCATGATCCTACATAATGTCAGGAGCTCTGAATGTAGATCAAGGCTATTGGGAACTATGTAACACTCATCGATAAATTATTTACCCTACACTAAGATAATATACACCAATCATTAATGCTTGCAAACACACTTGTGATGCATGACAACCAGGTATATTGAAATGGTATAATATTGATGTAAACCTGCACTTAGCATTTAGGAATGTTGTGCTCTAACGAGGTCCTTCAGATACATCTTGTCGATCTTGCCGTTCCTGCATCATCAAATTCTAGTGGCTGGGATACGCAAGACACCATTCGCACTCACGAGGTCAGCGGCAGCGATGCCAATGCGTGGTATTTTGAAGGCACAGCATAGCATGGTTGTAAAGTTTCAATGGTCGTGCGAACCTTCGAAGCGGAGACGTGCTCAGGCGTGTAGAATGCCCAAAGGTCCTGCCCGACAAGCAGTGCGCAGGCCGTCATGACGCCCGGACACACTCGTATCGCAGCACTCACGCCGTCCAACTCGACGCGGAAGCCCTGCACAGTGCCACATCACATCAGTGTGCATAGCATCAGCAGCACAGGCAAAGGGTCTACCTTAATCTTGACCTGATCATCGACACGCCCGAGATGTTCTAGCTGGCCGTCTGGCCGCAGCCGCCCGATGTCGCCTGTGTTGTACATCACGCCACTAGCTCAGCGTCTACATCATCAGAGGCCAATTTACAGATGGAACGCCCGTGCAGACTCACCCCTGCGGCGAGAACACATCGCGCGTGAACTTGTTACTCGTGAGATCGGGGCGGTTGAGATACCCTTGGCACACGCCGTGACCGCCAGCCCACATCACGCCGGGCACGCCCCGCGGAACAGGGTGCAATTCGGCATCAAGGACGTAAACCGAGTTGTTGGGCGTCGGACTGCCAATTGTAATCAGCGCGCCTGCCACGTGGCGGTACATGGTATTCACAATTGTCGTCTGCCGGATCCCGGAGGATCTATCAGTGATGTCCGCTGAGCACGTACTCGAGACACACCTCCGTAGGACCGCAACAGTTGTAGAACGTCGCGCGCTGCGCCCATCGGTCGGCGAGGCTCTGGGGGCACGGCTCCCCAGCCGTCGCAACGACACGAATGTTTGGGTAGTCTGCGGGGTCGTGCTGTGCCAGGATGGACGGCGTGCTAATCACGACATCCACCGTCTTCAGGACGTTGATCCAATCCTGCCGGTGGGGCCCGCGGAGGTGCAGCGTCCCGCCGTTCATGAGACATCCCAGGATCTCCCAAGCGCACATATCGAATGCGACGTTGAGCAGCTGCGAGACTCGGGTTCCGGGGCGGATGCCTAGGTTTCCCGGGGAGAGGCAAAGCACTGGGAGATGCTTGTGTTAGAGCCCAGCGCGTCCGGAAAGAATGAAGCAGCTCACAGTTGCACACATTTGAGTGGCTCACGATCACGCCTTTGGGCCGACCAGTCGTTCCTTCGAGACATGAGTTAAAAAAGCCAAACTAGTTCACTCATGTGGAATTGCGACCTACCGGACGTGTAAATTATGTAGGCACTGTTAGATTGTGCGATCGAGGCAGACAATGGTGCCGCACACGAAGGTCCCGAAGATGATGCTCCTGCAATCATGTCTTCCAGGCATCCATGGCGTGTAAGGACGCATGGAGCGCGGGTCATGTAGCGCTTCGAGATAAGTGTGAAGGCGGGCTGCGCGTCCTCAATAACGGACGCAAGTGTGTCGTCCGTAACGATGCAGCCATCCAAAGGGACGTACGCTGCACCTGTGCGCAGTACGGCAATGATCGCGACGACCTGCGTGATAGAGCGTTCAATCAGCAGGCAGACGTGGGCGCCACTGCCAACGCCCGTGGCACGTAGCTGGATCGCAAGTTGAGCAGAGAGGCGATCTAGCTCGCCATAGGTTACCGAGTATCCTGTGAAGTCGACGATGGCGGTCTGCGCAGGGCGCGCCTCAGCCTGCACGAGGAACGCGCCGTGGATGGTGTCATAGGGGACGATGACGGAGTGCCCATATACTAAGCTGAAGCCAGTGGTGTGTTTGGGCTCCGGAGGAGGATCAGAGGAAAGCAAAGGCGAGACGGCATACGCTTCGCCTGGTGTGGCACGACACTCAGTGGACGGGAATTGGACGGCAGGACGCCACAAGGAACATAGACATCGCACGACATCCAGGAAGCCTCGGAGGTCGTTCATGCTCAATGGGCAGTAATTGATCCAGCGATACATCAGAGCACGATGGTGGGCTGCAGGAATTTTGTGGAGCACTGGAGTGCACAGACGAAAATAAAGATAGTTGAGCGCCTGCTGCGCTAAAATACAAGACCGTTAGGTTCCATCTATACCAACCACACACGAAAACGAGTAACCCTCGTGGATCTGTGTTGGATGGGACAGCACGGCGAAGGCTGTACTCGGACTCTGTGATGATATGAATGATTCCTATGATACATCGTGCTCTGTGGCCCCATTTGGAGGCTAATTCAAAGGCATAATGATGGGCGATGAAGTCGATAGCTGTGTTGACGCGAGTGTGGGCACAACGATGATGGACAACAGTGATGGACCATGATGCGAGATACAAGACGCAGTTCCTGCGGTGTGCTGATTGGAACAGCAAGGATGATCTTGGAAGAACAACTAGTCAGAAATGCATGTGCAAGGGCACGTACCTGTCAACAGCTGTAAATCTTCATTCGGCAGCCTTGTAGTGCGTCCCTGGGATGCCCCGAACTGCGCATCTCGGCGACATCGCAACCTGATAAATGTTCATGAGCAACATTCGCTTCTCTTCGGAACGGCGTTAGAGAGACTTAGAGTAGTATTAGGCTGTTAGCAGGTTGTAGTCCACGTGTAGATAGGCGTCAAACCGGAAATACATTTGCCCTTCAGACTTCCCCCATCGCCCGGACATGCTCCTTCCTTCCGTCCGGCAGAGTTACTGTCTTCATTTGCGATCCATATTACTTTAGTCCCTCCGGATATCGCATGCTGGCCAATCAAAAGATGCTATCCCACGTTCGTGCAATGTTCGGAGGGCCTCAAAAATAACAGCTCAATTTAGTATAATTTAGTAAATCATGCCTTTGCCGGGCCCAGATACTATCGGGCCCACGGTCCCGACTATTGATATCGAATGTCGCATCATTTATTTCTCGGATAGATATGGAATCAGCTGCTTCATGGCACGGGTTATTGTTTCGATTTGTGTGTGTCTGTGTGCGCAACGGTCGATTTTCTGAGCCGACTGTGCGGGAATTCGTACGCCTGCTGCAAAGGCGAGCTTCGGGCATCGGTCGTCCCGTGCTTTCTCACACTCCTTCCCATCTTACAGTCATCTGGCACCGCTGTCCATGTTTTTCAGGGTACCCCGTAGACTGCGCACGCCAGGGGGGCGACGCCGCACGCAGCCCGAGGAATCTGCTCCGTCTTAGCACCATAATGTTTGCTTGTTGCGTTCATCATCATCATCATGTTCAGCGCTCTAGGCGAGCGGCTGTATGGCGGACATAGTAGTTGCCGTGGGGAACAAGGACAAGAATCGCATGCTCAAGGCATGTTGTGCGCCAAATTTAATCCCTCTAGTGTCAGATGAGAACCCTCACTTATTAAATTAGCAATTTTACACCGAGCCGCGGCCTTGCTCTGTGCGCGACTGCATTCCCTGAAAACGTACACCTTCCTAGTTTCTTGACACAACATCGTCGTGACAGTCTCAGGATCTCATCATGGCATTCGCTTTCCGGCACCAGCCTCTCAAGGGCATCTACATGCTCGGCAGCGTCCTCGCCCTGCTCTTTGTCCGACTGCCTCTCTGGACTGTGCTCAGCTTGGTTCCATCTGGGCGTCCGCTGCCATCATGGACCCTCGGACGCTCGCTGATTCTCCGTGTATTCCAAGCATACGTGGGCATCCTGTACAACACCAGCGTTGAGACCCCCGTCCGTCCTCAGCCGGACGCCTCCAACGCCTCCAAATCTTGCCTAGTGTGGGTTGAGCCGACTCCCGACCTCATCCTTGGCGACATCCGCGATTTTGTAGACGCGAACAATGTGAAGCCTGAGAGTGTCCCGGGATACTGGAACGGCTCTCGGGCGTCGGATGGCCCGGTTGGCTAGCACGCATTGCCTGGGGAGAAGGTCGTCTTCCACTTTCATGGTGAGCCAATAAATCCTCAGATAGCTACTAGTTGCTTACATCTGCCGATCTCTTCGTAGGGGGAGCTTATATTGTACGTATCGTCATCATTGCTCAATCAACGCTGCTGACCTGCGCATCATCTCCCAGATGGGCTCCGCGTCACCATCCGATCCAGGTTGCAGGACGGCCTTTGCCGGCTTCTCCGAGCACTTTCGTCACAACCCACGCATCTTCAGCTTAGAATATCGCCTCGCGGGAGCGGAACCATTCAAAGCGCAAAATCCGTTTCCTGCCACGCTGCTCGATGCCGTTGCAGGCTACCGCTACCTGGTACAGGACATCGGCTTCCAGCCGCAAGACATTCTTCTGAGCGGCGATTCCGCTGGCGGACACCTCGCCTTCACGCTCGCGCGCTACTTGGCGACATACGAGCTCCCTGGTCTGCTCAATGCCGGAGGGCTGCTGCTCCTCTCGCCTACGGTCGACTGGGCGAACACGCACAATGGCCCAGACTCGTCGATGGTGCGGCATTCCCGCACAGACTTTGTCGGTCCGATATTCACGACTGGCTACACCGAGCGTGCACTCCGCGGCGCGCTGCCCGCAGACACGACCGCCATCAGCGCGTGGATCTCGCCTGGCTCGCTGCGCGCGCAGGTGACGCCGGGGATGTTCGCACGGCTCCCGCGCGCATGCATCGTTGCAGGCGGCGCAGAAATGACGCTGGATGCGATGGTCACACTGAAGGAGCGCATGGAAGCGGACATGGGCACGGAGGCTGTGCAGTTCATGGAGGTGCCGAATTGCACGCACGACTTCCTTACGATGGGCTGGCACGAGCCGGAGAGGACAAGCACGCTGGAGGAGGTGGCAAAATGGGTGGGGACCATATGGTCGTCTGCGTAGATGGAGACGTCTGCTATATTTGTGTGCTCGCGTGCTCTAGGAATGCTGTCGCTTCCGTGATGCTGTCTCCATGCCATTTTATCCTCTTGTATGTAAGCTTCCATTTACACGTGGTATGCCACATGTGCTGCCCCGCTACTTGTGCGAACGTCTGTCTTCGCAGCTCCGCCATGTTTGACCAGTAGAATTGCGAACTTGCTGTCTGGTTCGATGCACAGATGTTATTATGTCCATGCGCACGGTATGCGGACGTCCGTGAATTGACGTTGCAACGTTTCTGCACTATATTTCGAGCATGATTGGGTAGCACATACACAGGTCCGTGACATACAACATAGAGATCGATTTCGTTTCATTTCGCGCCGCATTATTCCCATCGCCTCAATCAAGGATATACAAGGCCTGGCGCACTATTTCATTCAAGTATTCCGTCATGTAAGTCTTATCCCATACATCCGTTGTCTTTGGCACAAACGTTAGTAATCGCGTCTCGCTAGATTGAATAATCTCACACACCTCAACCTGCACATGAAGCTTGGACCGGATGCTCCAGACGTGCGTGGACCTGCAATCGCATGTGAGACAATGAAACTAGGCTTCGATGAATGCTTACGGGCTCGGCATTGTCATCCTATGTCCAAAGGGTAATGCGGAGATCTCGAACAGTGGTGGCTTTGTAGCATCACCGTCCGGGTACCATGTTGATGCCAGACTATGCTCGATCACGCCCAGATTGGTGATCACGGTCGCGTGTGGGTTGCTTGTGATGACGGGCACGCGCGGCGGGGCGAGTCGCATTTGCGCCGGGAACAGATGCGGCAGGTGCGGGTTGGCGAGGTATTCGTCATATTGCGCCTTCAGGATCGCCATGACGGCGAAAAGGCGATCCTGGGGGGCGACCTGTGGGATGTCCGCGTACTTCACTTGGAGCGGCACGATAGCCATCTCAGAGATGAGCTGATTTTTCCCATCGTGCGGTGGCACGCGGTAGCGCGCAATGGCAATGCTGGTTCGCGGATCTCGGTCAGCATAAAGCTTGCGCCACGAGAGCGCGCTCACATTCCGATCGCATACGTGATGTGCGCGTCTGCCGCCGACTCTGCGGGCACCGGGTTTCGCTCCAGGATAGCCAATATTTGAGCGGCATCGAACAGGTGCGTCACGGTGAAACCCGCTGCTTTGATTGCCTTGACCAGTGCTGCACTTTCGTCCTTGCCTATCTGGACGCGCACCCTGACAGGCCTGCCCAGCATCTCAGGATCGCTGCGCTGGGGCTTGATACTGTGCGTTGGCTGATGGCGTTTTAGATTGACGTCTCCAGGATCAGAAGCAGATATATACCGCTCACAATTGGGTTTGTCAAAATCGCGCCCATCTTGGCTAGAACAGGGGCTGCCTTGCCGTCCCAGTTTGGACGCGGGCCCCCGGTCGCCGTGACGGGGCCGGCGGGCAGGTTGCGCCATTCTGTCCCCCATTCGAGAATGGTGAGCGGTGGAGGCGCCGACACAGACATGTGCGTCAGCAGGAGCGAGAAGGCGTTGATGGTTGGTCGGGCATCCATGATGGAATGCGGGCCGTGGAGAAAGATGCTGTATATGTCCTGCGCAGCAGGCGACCGCACGAGGAAACAGCGGACAAATTGCTTGGTGCCGTCATAGAGGACATAGGGGAGCCGGCGCAAGTTGACCAGGGCCATGAAGTCATCTGAATCCATGGGCTCGGGATGAACAACGACAGACTCTCTAGCCCATTGGATGACTTCTTCCGCCGTCGCCGCCGGAACGTAGACCCAGGACCGTAGGTCAGGATCATGCACTCCTTCGACCAGAGGTGCTGCTATGATGGGACACTCAAACCTGTCCGTGATCGTGAATACAGTGTTCTCGTCGTATACAAAATAGCATACCGTAGTCGTGCGTACCCATCACGGAGTCGAGCATCTACCTCCTCAAAAGACAGAGTGGTTGAAAACGTAAAGCCCATTATACAGTCTGATGTACTATGAGAATAAATACTGTGAGCGGATGTAGTCGTGGCAAAGCACTGGGGACAAACCCGTCTTGAAACCTGCTGAACTGGTCTGCCAGTAACTCTGAACCAAGCAGTGGCCTGAGAAGGATGAGCGATTGGTGATGCTTCGATGCCATGGATTCTTCACCTTGAGTAAGCTACATCGCCTTCCCACTGGATAGACGACCACACCGGTTCGTTCTGGATGGGATTCGCAGTGAAATGGTTCATAATATTGGTGTGGTCGTTTCGCTAGCGGCTACACGTGTATAGCGGGCGGGAATGTCAATTCATTTGGTTCACGCAGGCGCAACTTATGCCTTCTGGGAAAGCTCCACATGGCGCCGTATCTCCTCACAATCGAGGAATGCTCTGCGCAGCATCTATGATCGTGACATTGCGGTGACGCCCTCGACTCCCGCCATAGAACATCTTTCGATATCAGTCAATCTCACAGGCAGGCCGGTAGTCCCAAGTGCTCCATGATATGCGGACTATCACGTGCGGTGTCTGCAAGAGACTGATGACTGCCACCGTGCGGGAATCGTCCTGTCTAATCACGCTTCGGACACGACCTGCTGACAATTGGTCATCCCATGGAGATCCTATTGACGGATATGTGAAGTTGACGCAGCACTCGCCAAAAAAACTGCTCCCGATGGCTACCTAGATTGGAAGTTTTATTGTGCGGGTCCATTAGCGACTTGTAGGTGTTGCCGGCATGAGAAGCACACTAGCATTGAATGGTGACCTCTCAACGGATCACGAGAGAAGCTAGATAAGGCAAATCTAACAGCCCTGCCTTCGAATAGTCCAAAGGGAGCACTGTGGAAGCTTACAGGAGAGCGTAATCAATTATCTCGCAGAGCATGAAGTTGGCATCAAGGTAGACATGTGGTCACGTGCCTGGTTTGCTAATCGATGAGCCGAATAACAACGCCCACAAGGGCCCACTATAACCCCTGACAAACACCGGCACGTTTACGATTTCTTTCCCCGTCTCGTCTCGCGCGCTCACCCGGCGAGACGAACATTGGTGGCCACTGCCATGGTTCAAATCGTTTCTCATGGACGCTCAATCTGCTCTCGAAAGTTTGCGTGGTCCTGGGCATCGAACCGCTGGCAGCTCTGACGGCGCTGTGTGATGCCCTCAGCCTCCGACGCTCATGTCCGAATACGTAAGTGACAAGTGATGCCGATTCTCAATGGCAGGCTCTGATGGAATCAAGCGTACCGCATGATGCATCGATGTATCAGGAACTCTCTCACCCGCCAGAACGCGATGCCATGCGTATTTAGCCAATCGCTTATGTGCAATTGCCTGGTGAGTAGCCTTGTTGTTCTAATATGTAGCGGTGTGGCGCGGCGTGATGATCGTAGCGAATCTTGTCAGTAATAACGTGTGGTCGCAGTCTTGTCTTGTAATTAGCTTCCATCTCGCTTGTCCGTCTCTTTAAGCCGAGTCTCCGTATTTCACCTTCACCTCTACAAGCGTTGCGTTGTGCCCCGGACTATTCCCTCAATGTCTGCTGCAGGTGTTTCAGCCTTGCCCCGCTACGACAAGATCTTCTTGGTCGGAATATGGCTGGAGACGGTGGTATGGGGTATGTAGACTGCATGGCTCGCACGAAAATACAAATCGTATTCACATCATGGTCATAGCAACGAAGTGTGTTCTTGCACTCTTTGCGTATGCATCAAACCACTCAGTACACCCTGTAGCATCGCAATTTTTTTCAGTGCGATTTGGATCATATTCTGGAAACGCGGGGGATCCACGCAATGGTGTGTGTTGGTTCTCGTCTCATTGTTTAACATCGCTAACCTGACGCGCGCCATGGCAGGATGCTGGGCATTACATCCACCGTACTCTTTGTCTTTGCTACAATTCACGTGTCGGCGTCATTATGCCAGTTACTTGAGGCATTCGCTGATGTTCCAGAGGACGCACCTTCGTTGTATTCTTCTCTTTACTTCGTGAACAAAGCAGCACCGATGGCTATACTCAAGCATGTAATCTACGACACTACAGTATGTACGAGATACTACCTCAACGTTGGCTTTATTGATCGTTCTTTCCACAAAGGTTTGGCTGCAAGACATTGTACTTGTGCGCCACAAACCCCTCACGGCTTACTGCAATGCTGATGTGATTCGACAGATCTGGCGTCTATATGTTGTATGGGAACGGAGCTGGAAGATATGTTTCATACCTGTAAGTTTTCATTATCACTTTATCCTTTGCTCATGCTTACTATGTCAAGTTCGTGGTCGACCTCGCGCATATGGGTGAGCATTATCTGCTCACACGTAAGTCGTGTGCTGAATCTTCGGCATTGCATCTTAGCCTCAGCATATGCCGCAACAATCATCATTTCCCGTCCGAACGTGAGCCTTTATGACTCAGTCCTCAAGGGGCTCGGTCTGGCTGGGTGGGCACTCGATCTTGCGGTTAACGTCAGCGTGACGGCTGTGATCTCCGTCCGGCTATGGTACATGGGCATGAAGGTCACGACACTTACGACGGGTGGTGCTCACGTCACGAGCTCACCAAACAGATTCACGGTGCCGATATTCACCATTATTGAATCTGGCGCTCTGTTTGCGACGGTCACCATTGTGATGATGATCATGTACTGCAGGGGGAGTCCTCTCACATTGGCTGCCATGGACATTGCGACACAGCTTGCGGTATGCTGATATGTATTACTCGCATTTTGCACGTCCTAAAATTCCTTCTGACAGGTCACTACACCCCTTCTGATCATTGTCCGTGTCGGTTTGGGCTTGACCCACGGCTTACCCTCAGCGTACAAGAACGTGATGAGGGGCACGATGTCGACCTTCCGTGCTCCCTCGATGTCAGGCGACGCCGAGTACAGCCTAAACACGGTGCACATATCGAGGACTCGTGTTGTCACCGAATCGGATGACGCCGCCCCAAACCGCATGGTGTACGTGATGAAAGCCCTTGAGCATCCAGGAGAGTTTGCAGATGACACCTCTCAAGTGTCTGCATAGATCAGCATCATTCGCTAGTCCATGATATGAGACAGGTATTTGATGAGCTGGTTATATCCTCATCGTATTCATTTACCCAGTATACCCACACGATATTCGTTATTGGTCGAACAGGAACGTGCTCTGTAGACGATTGGCATGTTCATCCGAGTTTTTGTTCTTGAGTGGTGCGTTGTATACATGGACATCTCAGCTGTATCTATACAATGTTGAAACTGCGAACGCTTGATTGCGAAGGAGTGCACCATTTGTTTTGTTTCTGCCACCTTGAGCAGGCTGACTTGCGTCCGTAATAGCGCTGAATGAAGCTCGGCACATGACCGAACCCGTGACCCGTTTCGAGATGTCTTGCCAGGACTAAGGCATTGTATTCTGCTGGAGCTACTTGTGTTCAGTATACGACTTCATATGCAGTGCTTGCTCCATAGGTACATTCATCGAGACCGTTCCTGAGATATATATAACTCCAAAGTCACCTTCAGGTTCTCGATCACGCAAACGGTGATGTTTCACCCGAACGCCACACCCGTTTGCCGACCCACCCCATCTGACACGCCGACATGTGAGACGCCCGGCTAACGGACGACATGAAATGGTGAGCACGCTAAAGCGTACTATTTTTCCGCCACCAAATTGAATGTTATATAATGTGCAGCGAGCGGACACCTTCTGAGTTACTAGCATCGAGAACAGACCGTTTGCCAACCCGCTCCAATGTTTGTTCTAGGTGTCGCTGTCTCGTATTACTGCGGCGTTGCATTAGCTACGGGTACCCTGGGAACGAACCACACACCACCCATCGTGGAATTAGCCTACGGAACCTTCGAGGGCACTACGGCTGACGACATCTCGCTGTTCCTCGGCGTCCCATTTGCCAACCCGCCGTACGCCCGATGTCTTATGTTCGTAATCACTGCACTAAAACGAGACATCCTGTTTCGGAAAGCATTGGCCCTCTGCGCTTTGCCCCTCCTCAGTGGCCTGAGCCGTTCACAGGAATCAGGCAGGCAATCAGTTATGGACCTGCGTGCCCACAACAACCCGCAGTTACACCAGATGTACTACCAATTACTGTTCCCACTGTCCCTGCGCCATCGAACCAATCTGAAGACTGTCAGTAAGCAATTTCTACCTATATACAACATTGAAAATAACGAATTTGACCACAGGCTTGTATCTTAACGTGATTAAGCCAGTTTCTGCTGTCCAAGGGGACAATCTCCCAGTACTCTTTGTACGTAATTCACCCACTTTGGATTGCCGCTATCGCCTTGACACTTGTGTTATCCAGTATATTTTTGGGGGTATGTTCGTTTTGACGACATTTGTACCTTCGCGGTGTTAATGTCTTCATCAAAGGAGGGTTTGAAACGGGAGACAGCTCGTTTAACCCAGGTAATACAATCGTGAATCGCTCTGTCCAGTTGGATCAGCCAGTCATCTTCGTGTCTATCAATTATCGCCTCACGGGTACGCATCGATTCTAGTGCCAATCCTCCCACCTTCTCACTGATTTGACCAGCTTTCGGCTTCATCGCAGGCGAGGAGATTCAAAAGGCAGGTGCGAGTAACCTAGGCATTCGAGATCGTAAGGCTTTGCGTTCTGTGGTCGCTCAATCTCACCCCGTCATTCATCATATAGAACGATTGGCCATGCAATGGGTCAATCGCTATATTAGTGCTTTTGGTGGGGACCCCAACAAAGTGATCATGTATGACCATTCCCATAGGTGACTTTGTCTCACTGCTTAATCGCCATATAGATGGGGAGAAAGTGCCGGCGCTCTGTCTGTTGGACTTCACATGGTCATCAACAACGGTGACCCAGGAGGCCTTTATAGAGGTGCATTTATGGTATGAGCCACTCTGATCCTTACTGTGCCTTGCTCAAATCATGAGGCTATAGGAGTCCGGTTCTCCGTATGCGCTGCGCAACTACACAGCGGGGCAGCCATTTTATAACATGCTCGTTGAGAGCACAGGGTGTTCAGGGGAGACGGACACCTTGGCTTGTCTGAGACAGGTACCATTTCGGGAACTATGGGCGGCCGTCAACGCTACTCCCAGTATCATCAACTACACAAGCCTTAATTTCGCGTGGCAGCCGCGTCTAGACGGAGATTTGTTTTCGCAGAACCCAATGCGGTCAGTCTCCGAGGGTAGCTACGCGAAGGTGGGTGATCATCTCACTACACACGCGATTTCACGTCGTGGACCGCATTACAGGTGCCGATGGTTACTGGAGATTGCGACGACGAGGGGACAGTATTCTCTCTCGGTAACATCAATGTGACGTACGCTCACTTGCTGCCCTGATATGTTTTCCGCACTCACGGATGTGCGTTACCTATAGAACAGATGCTGAATTTCTAGCGTACATACATCAGAAGTAGGCTACGATTCAGACTGCCGTAGAGTTTGTGATCAATTTCACTCACTAAAACCCTCATGCAGCTATCTCCCTTTGGCGTCTTCTGCAGATATAGCAGATGTGGCGACGGCCTACCCCGAAGACCCTATATACGTCAGTCGTCAAACTCGGTGATGTCATCTTTGCTACTTAACGTTGCTTTAGGGTTCTCCGTTCGGTACTGGGGATCTTTACAATATTACGTAAGTTCTACGAATGTCCCTTCTCCTTGAGAGTAACCGCTCTGCGAATTAGTCCCGAATACAAGCGTATGGCGGCGTTCCAAGGCGACTGGGAATTCCAGTCCCCACGCAGGTATTTCCTGGAAGTGGCCTCAAAGACGCAAGACGCATGGGCATTTTGTAGGAGACCATGTATTGCGGTAGTGACTATGAACTGAAATTAGGAGCAGTGTCCAGGCGAATGAAGTCCACTCCATACCTAGGATCTTTCCATTCATCAGATCTGCCAGAATTCTTCACGGATGTCGATTTCATTGGTGTAGACAGCCTCAGTACGTGCATGCTGGCTTCCTGAGTGGTGCAGATGCAGAGATTAATATGCCGGACGCAGTTAATTTTGCCACGAATCTCAATCCGAATGCGCCGCCGCAGCTGTGCCCGAACATTAGCTATCTCTCCAAAATCAGCTGGGAACAGTGGGCCACGGATGCTTTGGAGCCTCCGCTTCTCACGTTTCAAGACCCAGCACCTTCGGTAAATATTACTGCCGACACGTACCGTAAGGCACCGATGGCTTTGCTCAGCAATCTGGCTTTGCAATTTCCGTAGCAATCAACCCTCTGAAGGGATGTAGAGTCGCTCGGTTCAAACCGCTGACACCTACTACTGTCTATGGATGGGGTCGGAAGGCAAGGTGCATTTCTATGTCTTGTGATACAAGGCTCCAAGATTATAGCCTGCGTTGCCTTCAACAACGGCTTCATGAATGGATGGCATAGCTATGGATGCAATTCCTGCAGTGGATCCACCTGCATGTCCGAGAAAGCGAACAAAACAGTGTGGCTCGTTTGCACTCAATGACTACGATGAATACGGTAATGGGCGGCTATGGTGACTGGTCGTCGGTTCGACAGCGGAACCCATTGATCACGTGACCCACGGGAGTATCAGGCGAGCACCAACTTGGCAAATGCCGCGCGCGGCCTACATTGTTCCAGAAGAGGATGCTTCATCTTTAGGTAACGCAGAACTCAGACTGACGTTTCGGAGCTTTGCCGGTATGGCAGTTCGCCGCGCCGCTTTTCGGCTGGTCTGGATCGTGATCTCTCTGTGGAACCGCTGCTTCCATGCGATGTAGGCTCATGCAGCAAGAAGGTCTTCATCGCCTCATGCCAATGCCCGTGAGCGCCGAACCGCTTGCATCACCCATCATGGATGTGTGCAGTTGTGGGCGATTTCTACGTGTTCAACATGGTCTGTTGTTAGCGGTCGTGGGCGTCCAATGCGGAATGCAGCGCAGAAGCATCGAAGAACTTGGTCGCTTCGGCCGGTAACATCGGTCGCTGACTGGCTGGTCAAGCCGGGAAAGAAGCACGCTGTCCGGGCGAATCAGGCAGACTCGCCAGGCCTATTGCTTATGAGCAGAACACCCGAGTAGCCTGTGCCGTTCCTCCCTGCCTTGAACGATGGCGTTCGCATTCCGTTACCAGCCTCTGAAGGGCCTCTACATGCTGGGCAGCATCCTCGTCCTGCTCTTCATCCGCCTTCCTGTTTGGACAATCCTCGGCCTCGTCCCGTCGTGGCGCCCCCTCCCCACATGGTCGCTCGGACGTTCCCTCATCGTCCAGGCATTCCAGGCATATGTCGCCATCCTTTACAACACCGCAATCGACACTCCTTCACGTCCTCCCGAGAACGCTCCCGACGCGGTCAAATCCGGGCTGGTCTGGGTTGACCCCACTCCGGACCTCATCGTGGGCGAGGTCCGCGACTTTGCAAACACCAATCATGTCCAGGCTGAGAAGGTTCCTGGCTACTGGCATGGTCCCAGAGCGTCGGATGGCACTGTCGGTCAGCGTGCCTCGCCCGGCGAGAAGGTCGTCTATCACTTCCACGGTATGTCACGACACCCATCCAGTGTCGCCGTGACTGACGAATATCATTCATCCATATGCCTCTAGGCGGTGCCTTCATCGTACGTGCGGCTAGTGTGAATGTGCGGCTATGGTCACTGACCCACTCACTGCCCGCCCTCCTAGATGGGATCTGCGTCGCCATCAGACCCCGGCTCAAAGACATGCTTCACTGGCTACATGGAGCACTTCCCCAACAACCCGCGCGTCTTCGGGCTCGAGTATCGTCTGACGCGGGGACATCCGCTCGGGAGGGCAAATCCGTTCCCTTCTGCCCTCATCGACGCTATCGCCGGCTACCGCTATCTGGTGCAGGACGTCGGGTTCGAGCCGCAGAATATTCTGCTGAGCGGTGATTCCGCGGGCGGGAACCTTGCGTTTGTGCTCGCGTACTACCTCGCGACATACAAGCTACCGAACTTACCGAATGCAGGTGGATTGCTGATCTTGTCACCCACGGTGGACTGGGCGAACACCCACAAGGGCGCGCAGTCGTCGATGGTGCGACACTCGCGCACAGACTATGTTGGGCCGATCCTCAACTCGGGGTACACGAGGGATGCGTTGGTGGGTGACTTGCCCGCGGAGGCGGCGTCGAGCGTTTGGATCTCGCCTGCGTCGCTGAAGATGAAGGTGTCGACGGGAATGTTCTCGCAGATTCCGCGTACATGCATTGTGGTTGGCGGAGAGGAGATGACGCTGGATCCTGTGGTGACGCTGCGGGACCGGCTGCAAGCGGACATGGGGAAGGAGGCGGTGACATACATCGAAGCGGTCGATTGCACGCACGACTTCCTGATGATGGGATGGCACGAGCCTGAGAGGACCAATGTGCTGCGTGAGGTTGCGGTGTGGGTGGAAAAGCTCTGGTCATCGGCGTAATGAGCTAGGCGTGGCTACGTTCGCTTGTCGCTTGGATGTTTTCCTCATCATGTCTTGTTGCATCAGCGTGGCAATTTCTGTTGGGTTTTCATGGGTTGGCTGTAATTTCTGTCCTTGGTAATTGGATTGGGTTCACAACGGTAGTTCAGGCGAATAGGCCATGTCATTATGTATGTAAATTAAGTCATGAAGACTGTTGGGACAATGTTTCAGAGCGAGAAGTACGTGAGACAATTGAAGAGGGAATTGTACTGCACGATTCCCGGGTGTGCCTTGAGGCAGGAAACTACATGTCTTTGAAGTAGGCAATTCGTACTATTGGACTCAACGAGTGCTCTCAGCGAGCGCAAAGTCGAGGCACCGGTCACTATCTATGTATTGTAATGGACAAGGGCGGAATGCTTCCGTCGGCGATTCACTGCCGTGTTGTATGTAGATCGTGACAGCTGGGCTCAAACCGATACTAATAGATCTACCGGGAAGTGTTTTTGCGCAATTTGGAATCGCGATTCACCGAAGTAAGCTGTGCCTTGCAGGGCCCATCCACGTCCGAGGTCCAGTAATGGCATATGCCCCCCTCAAGTTCAACAGATCTCATGATGTGAAATCACCTGGAACGGTGCGTCTTCTGGCGTCGGTTCAGTCAACTATGCGCCCGGGCCCCGCAGAACTCTTAGTGATTGGGATAACATGCATGTCCCAAGGTTCATATGCCACAGCTTCACCAGACACCGATTGAAGGACAACGAAAAGCCTGGTCAGATCTCCGAACTCCGTGCTTCCTAACCCATATAGGGAGACCCTGCATCACGAATTCATCGCTCGCAGTAACACATGGGCTCTTGAAGATTTCGTCGCTGCAGGAACGTGTGAGGTGCAAACGGAAGAAGGCACACTCGAATCACTTTGGGGCAGACTTCTGATGCACCGGGATAATAGTTTGGATGAACACAAAGACGCTCCTGGAGATAGCCAGGGCCGCCGTGAGAGGTCCACAAGGCGCTTGCGTCTAGCACACGCACCCCTCCGACATGACCGGGGGACTTTGGCGAAAAATGCTTCGCTAGAAGCTTATGTCTGGACAAGTCTGGCATGCGACGTGATCGTCTGGGTGTGCATCCGCCTGGCGGTGCGGAACATTAGAAGGCATTCCACATGCAGCACAAAAGGGGTGCTCAACCTTGGTCGGCCGCGCATTCATTCCCGAAGTGCCCACCCTTGTGGCACAAAGTTCCAATCCCCCAGTCATCGGCGATCGACATGACTTAGCCAAGGTTTATGCCTTCGTTTGTGACTTGACAAGCTCGCATTTAGTGGTACTAAGGTCTTACTGCAATAATATACCGCAAGCGCATCACTAGTATCTCTCTCATTTGTGTGTGAGTCATTTTCTAAATGCCTCAGTCTCGCATAAAGCTACAGCACTGGGTGTATGCTTGTAAGCCCTATTTGCATATCCATGAGTTGCCATGAGGCTTGCGTTTGGAGTTCGCCGTGTCGCTATTGGGCGCCGCTGGCTGAAGGATTAGTCGGGGTTGGAGCTATGGTAGCTACCTATGTACCCAAACAGGTGGACGCTCCGGAAACGAACGAGCGAGCGAGAACAACTGAGCCCTTGTATCTGCACATCAAGTTCATCCAGCCTGAAGAATGCGACCGCCGCTGCGGGAGCCGAGACAGCAGACTCGGTGATGCTCAGACTCGGAGATGTACAACGCCGAATAGGATGCGATGACAGCTGATTCCATACCGATAGGCCTGATGAACTTAATGTGTGTGTGAGGGGACTTCGGGCGGGAATAGGCGGGCCCTGAAAATAACGGCCTATTGTGGGAGAGTGTGGCCTTGATGATATTTTGACGAGTCCAGCCGGATCGAGACCACGGCCCCGATCATTTATTCCGAGTTCCACATCAGCCCCGCTTGCGCACAAGTATTCTCGATATGGGATTACTTGGAATGGCCTAGCATCTGGATAGGCCTGATTCAGTTCGTACAGCTATACAGTCGGACTTCAAGGCTACAGCTAGTAGATTCCTGCTCAATAGGCTGCTCCAAGGGGGCTGGTAGTATGGTGTGGAGACAAACAAAAGGCACGCAAAAACCTAACCCTAATTTGAGGCGGCCTGAATATTAGATGACTCGATGATCGTTCAAAGAGACAAGTGCCCAAGCAGCTGGAGCCAGACACTGGAGATATTTGCCCATGCCGGAGACAATTCAATCTCTGTCATGTACTTCAATCTGCATCCATTCATCAGCGATCGTTGCCCTTATGGTCTCTTGTCATGATACTGTCAGTCTGTGTCGCGACTTAGGGTCGAGCGACAGGGGAAACACAGACTTTGAAGGATGCTGGGGGCGTTCGACCGGTTCTTACCGAAGCGATGGTGAGCAAGGCTCAAACCTAAGGCTAGGGACAAGTGAATGTATTAGTTAGTAAGGTAAGAAAGGAATACAAATGAGGGCTTACTGACCTAGGGACAAGAGGTCGAAACTGAGGTCCCTAGGGCAGCAGAGGCCGGCTTATATACATGGGGAGATTAGGGCAGGCTGTGCACGTTGGTCCGTGCGCAGCTGGTCTGTGCGCAGCATGCCGACGCGGCCCCGGGGGCCGGTGAGTCAGAGCGGCTGTGTCAGCGGGGCCCGAGCTGTGCCGTGCGCTGCCGCCCTATCTAATCTAATCGTACAGTAGATAGTGACGCGTCCATATCAGGCAGGTAGTACAGAGGTCGCGGGTTCGAGCCCGCAAAAAGGAAAAATTAAAAAACGGCTAGACGCCGTACCAACTCGTGACATTACC